CAAGTATTCACAAAATAGATATATAACAATAAATAATAATTACAAAAAAAAAACAAATATAGGATAATTTGTATCTTACCTTCTGTTTTAATCTTTTTGTTGACTTTGGGCTTGGTGGATTCCCTTTCAAGTTGCTGGCCTGATTCTGAAGACCATCTTCTTTTTGACTTATTGCTTCCTCCAGCTGACAATGAGCTACTTGATTGCTCCAGAAGAAGGTCTACACAAAACAATAATAGCCTGATGATCATAAGAGTAAACACATATGCCACTTGCCTTCAGGAGAAAAAATTGGTACCATATTTCCGTGATTGTAAGCCCACGTACATGCCCAATGCAGATGGGAAAGGTAACGGGATTACACCACTGAGCAGATGCAAATGGAGAGGGGAATATGCCCCTCTGGATATGCAAATGAGCTGGACAGAACCACAGATGTCAAAATAAAGATCTAAATGGGTGGATACCATACTAATGTACAAATGCATTTTAGGGATACTAACTTGTCCTTATACAGAAAAAAATGTCTCTGTACAGATGCAGGGGTAGAACATGCCCAAATGCATTTAAAAGGTGGAGATGCCTCTGTGCAGATGTCTGAGGTGTACATGCCCTAGTGAATATGCATGCTAAAGGGGTTGGGAACATGCCCATATGCAAATCACATTAAAGAAGAAGGGGATATGCTCCTATGCAAAAGAAATGTGGCAGGGAACATGGTCTAGTGAAGATGTAAAGGGGAAGGGAAAAAAATTACCAATGTAATTCTCAACAATCAATTGTCAAAACTGCATTACATTAATACATTAGATTTTGAGACAGTACCTCCACCCCGAACATTTTAAAGTTTACCTTGCTTTACCAAAAGCTTACCTTGCTTTGAGCACTTTGGACAGGAACTCTGGAGAGGTTTCGCTGTTAAAAAATTACCACAACATTGCAGGTCCACACACAGCTTTTCAACCATGTTCCAAAACGAGTGCAATGTGTCAGGAGCACGTACCTGCGTACTGTGGGCTTGACCATCATACGTTGCTGGAAAAATAACACAGAAACAGCAACAGTTGAGTATCTACTGTGAAAGGCTAGACTAGACTACATGAAATTCTTCCAAGTTGAGAATCTGTTTTATGTTTTTATTTTCAAGTAAACTTGTGTATTCAATGTAACTGTGAAATTGTGTATGGTTTCAGATGACAAGCAATCACTTCTTTTGGAACCTATTGTTATGTATTTGTCAATACATTAATAAGTTACAATTATACAACCCCTGCAATGCATCCTGCTTAAAAATGAACAAGGATTCCTTCTCATCTAGAAGCTTTTTTACATTTTTTGCAGATAGCTGTTTGCCTTGTGTTAGAGCTTGTGTATATTAAACTATGACATGTATGTGTGTTGTGTGTAGGTCTGTAAGATGAGATGTATGTTTGTGTGTAATGTATGTTGGTTTTCAAAGTTGATGCAATATGTTAACTTTCTTAAATGGCATTTATCAACCTTATCCTTGGTGTTAGAATTGAGAGTAGGGTTGAACATCTTGGTGGGCAAGATGCTTGCCTGCCTATCCCAGGGTCCTAGGTCCAAATCATGTCAAATTCCAGGATTTTTCTCACAACAAAAACAACTCCACTCCATAAGCCTCGTTAGTTATGAGACTTACTTTACGTAGCGCACCATGTGTATATGTTTGTCATGTGAAGACACTGCCACCTATCCTATAGTATAGTCTTTAAGTAGCTATTGGTAATTTTTGTACCTAAAGGAATAAATAAAATAAAAGGTACATTGAAATTACCTGTGATTTGGATGGTACCCCCATGCTCTTGCTTGAACAATGAAAACACCTTCTTCTGTTGATTAGCACAATTCACACACATCTGCAGTACTGACTTGAATACTTTGTCAATAGGTCCTATTCCAATCCTGGGGGGAAGTCCCTTCTTTTGAGGATTCAAATATGACCCACTATTACAACTATTGTTCACAAAAACAGTCACTGGAAGAGAACAATATAATTTGTATACAAAAACTCCACATACAAAAATTAAGTACCTATTCATAGTGATTTATTACACTAATGCTGAATTTTAGGGTGTCTCTACCAATTTTTTTTCAGTGCTTGGATGGATGGATATATTTGGTGGGAACACCAAGGATAACCCACGAAAGTCTGAATGAGACTTATTTCCAGTGGGGTCCTTCTGATGGTGATTGGGCAGCACACCGAGAGACAATGCCCCACACTTTACCGAAGAGTGTACTGCATTTTTCAACGTGTACATGGCCAATTTGTACACAAAACCAACGGCCTCATGCCTCATCCGAAAGATGGTGCGCTTTTAAAACTTGCATTTCAACCCTCCAGCTGAAACACAAGAGAGCAGCAATAGGAATTGAACTGGGAACCGAAAGATCTCAAGAGTTGCGTTCTGCAAAGAATCGCATCGGCCGACGACCGCCAGACGCGGTGAGTGGCCGGCTTTACTCTCAATTATCCAGCGTACACTCCATCTGCAGGCCGAAGGATTCAATGTGCAGCTGGTATGAAATTTAAAAGAACAACCATGAGTGCTGCATGTAGTTACATAAATTATAATAAACAGAATGATGATACCATACCCAATGGTAGCTGCTGTGTGCTTGTATCCGGTTCTGGCTTCCCCGTGCTTCTGGCTGGACTAACTGGAGGAATCAGTGTAGGTGTAGAGGCTGGACTGACTGATAGAGGGCGCTCTATATTGTTGTTATTACTACTACTAGTACTACTGGCCCTCCTCATCTTTGGCTGGCCTAATTTAAAAAAATACAAACATTGAAAAAGGCAATGTGAATAAATTGAATTAAATTACAATCACTAACATTGAGGATGTTTATTTTTTCAACATTAATGACATAATTAATGTGGGCTCAATTATTGCTCTAATAATATGGACAATTACTTCTTCTTTGATCACCTGAGCCATTCAATATTATTACCTTTGAATACATGGATACTCATAAATCGAAGATCTCATCAGAGAATCACCTGTTTACACTCTGACGATAACGATTAATGATAAAAAGCAAAAAAGCAATTGTTCATATAAGAAGTAAAAGAATGAAGTTTTTATACTAGCACGATTCGATAACAATTTATTGTGCGTACGATAAAAAAATAATCAATTCAAATAACGTCTTAATCATGGCAAAACGATAAAATCGTAGTAGCAAAAACGACTTCATTTCCCATGATTATTATGTAATTTGATTTGATTTGTGAAATTATTTTTTATCGTATACATGATAAATCATTTTTGAATCGTGCTAGTGTGAAAACTTCTCTTATTTCTTTTATCTTCCATATGAACAATTGCTTTTTAGCTTTTTATTGTTGATCGTTATCGTCATAAGGTAAACAGGTCTTAAACCTAAAAATAACATTGCCCTTTTCAGAAATGGGATGTTAATATAAACAAAAAAAAAAATTCCAAAATTGGTAAACAAATTCATTAACTAAATACAAACAAAATAATGGTGACTCATTGATTACCTTTGTTCCCTATCATTTGTAGTGGATGACCTGTGAGGGCGCACCAACCAACAGGGAAGATATCTCTAGAGTCATACTCGCATTGATAGTCAAAGGCTCCTCTCCATCCATCAAAATTTATAAACAGCGTTGTGTCCTTAACTGAACCGATGGTTGCTGGGCAAATTAAGTGCGGATTCTTACGATCTACAGCCTCAATCTTCATACCAACTTTGAACATGTTTTCTTTTGGTGTTGGTGGTTCCTAACACAAAAATTTTAACATTTCTTTTGTTACAACAAATTAACCTATAAAGGCTTGTATGACAGTATGACAAATTAACAAATAATAAATAGCATATATATCTCTTCACGATTCTACTAAAGATGCTAAGAGCAATCTAACCAATATGTACTCAAAAACACAACAGTGCATTTCTAAATTTATTTATTTATTGATCATATTTATACACGATAACATATCCAGAGGGAGTAACAACCTGTTTTACACATGGTCCTGTTTTGTATTAATCCATAAGTGGTATTGCAAACCTATTCAATAGTGTTACTTTACTACACAAACCTTCTAGAGTGAATTTATTCAGTTCTATGGGAAGCTATTACATCAAAATATTTCAGTGGCCAAAAACCCCCCAAAAAACCAATTTACTGTACCTTCTTGAAGAACTTAGCAGGTGCCATCTCTGCTCCATTCAACGTCCTCAGAAGAAACATCGGCCAGAAAGAAGCATTCATACGAAAACCTGAAAACAAGCAAAAACATAAAAAAAAAATTATTATTGAAATGTTGACAATACAATGGTGTTGTTAATTATATATTTGCTTACAGAACGTCCAGAATATCAAATTAAATTTGACATAATATGCCCATATGTAGTCATGATGTGCCTATATATGGTCATGATGTGGTGTCATCATGACCATATTTAGGCATGTCACATGTTTTGTCAAATCAAATTTGATAGTCTGGACAGGGCTTTTAAAAAAGGTTTCTCTACCTAAAGGAGGTTGCAACATCCCATCATGTTTCTCACAATACCCGACTGTCTTGATATCCGTCGAGTCAACAAGTCGCCAGAAGTCATTCTTATCATCCCCACCGTCCAGCCGTAAACGAAGCCTAGGACCCTGTAGGCCCACAACGGTGGCAATGCATACAGAGGTGAAATTCCTAGGGTCTTGTGCCTCCAGCTTCATGCCAACTTTGAAGTCATTCTGCGGTGGCACCAGGGCCTAGAAAGAAGAGATGAGGATTTTGATTTTTAGTTAAAGATGTGCCCATCACAAAGTGATGAGATGAGGCATTTACATGACATGGACTGCTAGGCCAAATCCATTTACACTGGAGATGATAAGGACACGACAACGACATGATCATCACGTTAATATTCTTCAACATTGAACCCATTTTTCTTGTGTCGTCGTGTCGTTATCGTGTCTTGTGTGAATGTAGTTTTACACATGAAGCTCAAATATAGCATTGACCACTCTATAGCTTCTCAAGGGTGTAGGCTGGGGTATCCAGGCATTTGTATTCTAAAGCAAGAGGTAACTTGTTATTTTACCAATATCTTGTAGAGCTTGGATATATTTATTTGGTTTTTGACATTTTACTATCTTGTCCTTTGTATGATACATTAAGCTGTTGGTCCTTCATGCATCAAGTCTTAATGTCACTCGAAGGTTCATCAAAAAAATAATCCGAAAATATACTAGTATGGATTGAACCCACAAAATAATAATGAAAGGCATTCTCCATGACCACAGGTGCCTTTACCACCTCGTGGAAGATGACCACCACTATGTGGGGAAAACAAACCTCATATGGTATAGTACAGTACACTCATTTTTCGTTACTTCATTAGCAGCAATTAAAAATAATTTTTTTACAAACTATGTCATCTTGGGTTATACTGGTTTCCATTGCAACAATTACTAATTTTATGGAAACAAGACTTCAGAATGATAACATGACAGCTTGAAAAGAAAGTTAAAGTTAAAAGTTTAAAAAAAATGTTGAATAAGAAAGTTAGACATACTTATAAATCTGCAAATTTAATTCACCTAAATATATTGTTTAATTTTGTAATTTGTAATAGGAAATTAAAGATTTTAGAAAAATCACTCCACAACAATCTTCCTCTTTTTTAACTCATTTCAAGAACAACATTTAAACATAATGTGAAATATCATTGCCATGTTATCCTCAGCAGTGAAAGCTGCAACGGAAGGAAATGTTGATAACATAATTGGAAAGTTGAGACAAACCAAGCATAGTCATGATGCATGTAGGCCTTAATACATCATATTTTCCATGGGCTCTGCAACAGAGCATAATACATATTAGAGAGTACTGCACATTGGACTTAACAAGTTATCTATCAATAATCTACAAATATTTTTGTTATAATAAGTTATTAATGAAAGCGGCATTGCAATTATTATCGTAAACACGATGTAAGCTGTTAAATGCTGGTGATCCACTTAATAATGAAACAGATCCCACTGACAAAAGAATACCTCTACATTTTTAAAATTCTTTGTTTATAATGTTGCTTACATAAAGTTTGTCTGCAAAGCTACAATTCCATACCCCTGTATTCTTTAACATACATGTATTTAAAAAACGCCATACTTTTTAAACACCATAGCCATGTCATGTACAGTATCATGTTCTGGCAAGGAAGAATCAAACCATATACAGTAAAACGTTGACTTTTCCTAACTCATATTAAATCTCAATAATAATGTCGATCTTGTTTTATATTCCAAATTGTTGTGTTTTCCATTAATTAACAATCTGTAGGTCAAATTATATCTAAGTCAAACAATTTTTCAATGCCTGGTTTTGGAGTTGACTTGGGCAAATTCAACTGTAATATTTTATTTACCATAGGTAATGAACACATTATAACTGCACTCAAACATGGTTGTGGGCAGTATACTGTACCTGTTTGAAGCAAGCCTGAGGTGCGGCAATAGAGCCGGTCTTTGTCATGTATTCATCCCAATCGAAGTTATCTACAAAAGAAAAACAAAATTCTCAAATATTTCAACTCAATAATAATAATAATTTGTGATTGTGTAGCGCGTCCCCAACCTCAAGGCGCTTGACAGCAACGAAAGGAAGAGGACAAGAACTTATACCGAGACTCACAAAACCCTTGAAAATTAAAACGAACCAAAACCAACATCGCCTCATTTACCGCTAATTTAAGGCACAAAGCCCGCCGATGCATGACAATGTATGGAAAGGATAATGTAGTTATGCAAGAGACACAGACACTTATACCCATTTCACACTAGCAGAAAATATTACAACTTTTAACAATTATTAACAAGTTGTAACAAGTTTGATATTCCAAGATTTTTGGTTCGTTTCACACATGCACTTTCAAACCATGAGAAATCTTGGGAAAACTCGGAAAAATAATGACTAGGCCTAGAGGCCTAGGGTAGCACTAGTAGTAGGCCTAGGCTAGTTGTAGGTTGTCCGAATTACATATCAACTACTAAACTAGGCCTGGTACCGAATTTACAAGATTATAATTATTCCATGGTCCTTAGCCTTCGGAGAGTAAAACGAATTCAACTCCTAGCTCGCTTGCTGTAGTCGATCAAAGCATCATAATAATTCGCTGTTGCCGTATTTTACGAAGCCTCGTGATTGTTTCTACATCAGACATGTGAAATTTAGCGAGATTTCTTTTGATTTTAGCTCTACGCCTATTAACAAATGGTAGTAATGTTGATACGTTTTCCATCGCTGCCGCCATTCGTTCGAACTAAAAAAAAAACAAAAAAAAACACAGCCAGCGAAAAGGTCAAAATATGGACATGACGCATGCGCAACAACAACTCGGAAGATTTCGGGAAAAAACAGGCCTCGCAACGGTCTGTTTTTGTTCCGAGATAACTCAGGGGACCCCTGTGAAATCTCGGAAAGTTTTACAAGGATTTGCTTTCACACTCATCCAAACCTGGTTACAACTTGTTACAAGTTGTTAATATTTGCAAAATAGCATCAGTGTGAAATGGGTATTGGTGAGGAAATTGTTAACAGTGTTGCCTAGTAGGTGGGAAGACTTGGAATTGGCAACTCATGCCCAGGACAGTATTCTACAATAATTTATTTATGCAGGACAACAATTAAAAGATTTTTTTTATTACAAGATATTTGAACATCACAATCAATGATTTCTAGAGCTTCTTATAACAAGCTGAACAAGTTGAGGGTTACAGGTACATGGTGTACAGTATGCAATAGTTCAAATTAGTCACCAACACAAAGGTAATGTAGTGGGTATCACATCAAAACAAACCGCTAGGTGGTAGTTTTTCACACAATAATAAGCCTCCGCTCGAATAAATTTGGACAGTTTTTAAAACACTCAAACTTTACTTGTACATTTTATTGTAAAATAACTTATTGAAAAGCCTTGATAAATATTCCTTTAATAAATGTCAGAATTTTTCAAAACTCCTCATATTTTTAGTCAGAATGGAAATGTAAATCAATTCAAACTTATGCCCCATTCAGACTAGCTTCGCATTGCGATCGGTTGCAGCAATTGCGACACCCAATCGCAAAGTAAAATCATGTCTGAAAGCTCACCAATAGTAGTCGATAAGTAATCGATTTCGCAATTGTTACCCGTTGCGTTTGGGTGCTACAATCTTTATTACTCCCGATTACCACGGAATCCGATCACAACGGATTCCACAGGCACTGATTGGCTGAGGTCAAATAAAACAGGACGACCTATATCGTTGCTAGTGATGTAAAGTATCAAAGTAAAAAGGTGTCTGAATGCTGTCGAAGTTTGCAAATGGTTGCGAACAATTTGGATTACAACTGTTTACCACAGATTACATCGCAACCGGTCGCAATGCAATGTCTAGTCTGACTAGGGTATTAGTCTCATGAATCTATGAATCATTTAAAATGTATACATATTATGAAAAGTATGGTATCTTCTATGCTAACTTCATTACATTTTAGACGATTTAATAATATACACCAATTTTGACCTCATTCAATGCATTGGCATAGCTCTTTCGGCTTTGTGTACATTTTTATACCCACTTGGCGAAATCGTGATGACGCCATCTTTGGTGACTAATTCGGTCTATATTAACATACACCTCAGGTCACAAACATTTCCATCATTTTTCCATTAGCATTCCAGGCCCATATATCTAAATTTTTAATAAACAAACCATTAGAGGTCATGATCTCATGCTAACAGCCAAAAACTGAATGCAAGAACAAAATAACCAAGATATTATTGGGATATGCCCATATTTAGGTGTAATATGACATCATCATGCCATATAAGGGCACATCACACAAACTTGTCACATCAAATTTGATATTATGCACAGATCTTTATATACATAACCAGAATAATCAATCATGACGCCATAAAATCAATTATTTATCTATATTTAAACAAATATGGATAGAAAAAAACAAACATACACAAGGACCAATGATTATACTTATTGGATGACGCTCTTTGGTTCAACACCTTCCTGGCTTTTTCCTGACTTATTGCATAGCATTGCAAGTAACGTTGATCTCCTTCCATTAGGTGGATTACTGTTTAGCCTCCCTGGATAAATGGAGCACAGAGGAAACCGCACTTGATCAGATAGTGGGCTGAATAGTACAAGTACCTACTAGAATGTGACAGAGTAAGACCTCCCTGGTAAAACTCCACATACACTTAATATTGCAGATCAATGCAGTGAATATTACAGCACTATTTTGGTCTGAAAAACATTCCCTTAGAATATGAAGTTTAATCAATTATCAAGGTTAAATTCCACAAATGGCTGTACTTGGAATGAAGCTGAATAATGGAATCACAATATCTGGTGGAACTAGGTCAAGCATGAGGTATCTCTATGGACAAACTACTACAAGATGACACCAAGGTTACAATAACCATGGCAATGTGACCTTGATTGACCTGGAGGTCACAAAACCCAATGCATTTGCTTAGAATTAACAAGGCTCATAGCAAGGTGAATTCACATCTGGTACTCATTAAATCTATCATTTTTTTATGCCACCTACTGCTATGGATAATATTTAATAAATATTCAACAAAAATGTCCTCCTAATTTTCTCTTCTTTCTACAAAATCTGTGTTGCTCAAATTATTTCAGTAAGATTACTCTTCTTTCTACAAAATATGTGTTGCTCAAATTATTTCAGTAAGATTACTGTATGTCCTAACTGAAAATAGACATTTTGAAGAATACCAATTTAAATTCTAGCTGAAAAAGACTACAAATGAATGCCACATTTTACAGACAGGTCCAACGGCAGACTCCTTTACAAGAAAGTTGGCTCCACCCACATAGGATAAGCCAATAGGATATCAGTACCACCAAGTAGAGACTAACTCTATCATCTATATTATTTTATATTCAATATAAAAAAAAGAAAAAAAATAATCAAGTACAGTACAACATTTCAATCAACAACATGAAATTTATTTTCAGTAACACTAAGGAAATTAGCAATTGAACAAAACATACCAACTGACAACATACCAACTATTTTATTACTTGTATGAAATATGTTTAAAAAAAAACCAGTATAGTACAGTATGGACTAAGTTGTATTAAATAGGCTGAAATAAAATTAATATATCTTAATATCAAGGAATTCATATCATATTTACTTGTAACCTCCTCCTTTTTAATTTTTCTTATCTTACATTTATATCAGTACTTTTTTTATCCCCATTTTAATTCAAGATTTACTTTGTACAGTACTGTATATGTTAATATATGTGTTCTTTCTGACTATAAATTTGTAATAAATAGGCTGAAATAAAATTAATATAAATTAATATCAAAGAAATCATATTATATCATATTTAATTGATTTCTCCTTCTTTTCATTTTTTTTTCTTACATTTATAGAACTATCCTTTTTTCATCCCTTTACTTTCACTTTATTTTTTAGTTATTTAATTTTTTTATTTAATTATTCATATCATAACATAAAACATACATGTACATTACAAAGCAAATAAACCACTTTAAAAAAAAATTAAAAAAAAAATTAACTTTCACTTTATTTGGTTTTGTAAACTAAAAATTTTGTAAAGATAACATGTAATCTGGCATTTGGCCATAAGTTTGATGTTTTCTGATTAATAACAATAGTAATAATACTGGTACTGGTAGTTGTAGCTATAATTACAATTACAATTATAATTACAGACATTTGGCAGCCATTGACATGTACGTAGCCTATATACTATATACAGTATTGTGTAACTATAAAGCATAATGTTGAAATTCAATCAATTCCATGCTGTTTCATACCTGTAGTAGGGATTCTACTATGTTATTTTCTCTTTACATGTATAGTTTTTTAGTTGTCAAAGTGGGCCCTACATATCAGCATTGCTGGAAAGGGTCACCATCTCAAAATATTGTTTGAAATAAAATAAAATAAACTACTTACATGAATATGTCTTGTGCATAATGTGTTACTGACTGTAGCTTGCTTTATTTACTGTAGTTCTATTGCCTCATCATCTGTCCATACACCACAATCTGTTAACAAAGTGAAGTAATGTTCTTCCTACAATAAAAGAAAATCAATAATAATGTTATTAATAATTTCACAGAGGAAATAGCATGTCAATAGGTACTTTCCGGCGGGTGATGTAAACTGCTTACTATGCAGCATATAGCTGTCCAGATTAAATGTTCTTTGGCATATATAGTCATGATATGCCTATATATGGTCATGATGTGATGTCATCATGATTATATTTAGGTATGATTGTCACATGTTTCTGTCAAATAAAATTTGATAGTCTAGTCAAGGCTTAAATCTTAATACTTAAATTTGTAAATGCATGCGTAATTTTTTTATAAAACATTTCTTACATTTATCAGGAAAAATCTTGGAAATACAACTTTATGTCTTAAATACAAGTAAAAAATTGAGATACATGTATTTGGGAAATAATGTCAAAGTTAATGCTTATGTTGTCTTATCTTATATTGAATAAATACTATTATAATGAAACCAAATGATGAATAACAATTCATGTTATTGGACTATCCTGGTTCATATAATCATAATTTTTGTTTTTATTTCAGTAACATTTAAACACTTAATTGCAAAAACAATACTTCCTATTGTAAACTTGTTTTCCAAGTTGTTTTATACTAGTAATAGTAGAAATACTAAATTGATTAGAATAAATAATAATAATAATCACCCTGATAGTTTTATCAGGGTGATTTTTAAAGGTGTTTTAGCTTGTCTCCATTCATGACATAACTTTACTACTACTTAAACATGTATTATCCCATACAAAACAACAACAAAAATCATTATTGAAATTCACTTTTAAGTAACATAAAAATTATCGACTTGAACATAGAAATTAGTGTATTTAAAAAAATGTTTACCAATGATTTTACATCGAAAAAGCATAAAAACACTTCCAGTCACTCTTATTACTTATCTATACAAATTAGGGTACACATATTATTTAATTCAATAATTTCTAAGCTCAAGTCATGTATTAAGTATAGATAGATATATTGCCCCCTAAAAATGACAAAAGGTCATAAAAAAAAGGATTTTGAAATTTACTTGCTCATCTCATATTGCTACCATGCATTTGTATAATAATACATTACTAACCAGGTTTTTTTTTCTATTTTCCGCATTTTAAAATGACATGATCTTTATCTTCAATATAGGCTAGGCCCTAGGCCTATCCTTTTTGTGTTCATTGCACAGAGAAAGTTGTGAATTGGTTTTATTCAATCACAATTACTAGCCTACATAAGAAAGGTAAATAAAAAAAACTTAATATTTAACTGAGTATGTCACTACACTGCCGCTGTAGAGTTTTCATAAGATATCATTCAAGTTTGAAGCAGTTACGTGTTAATAACATATCATACAATTGTAGTATTTTATATTCTCCGCCTAAGCTGTGTTGCTGGTACTCTTCTTGGAGCAGTCACCGTACGAAGAGCCTTTCACAGGCAGCCAATTCCCCACGTTAAGCCGCCTACACAGCCACCAACCCAACTGAAGCCAGGCTTGACTGTCCACAGATCGTGGTTTGGGGAGGCGGGAATATTAACTAATTTCAACATTCAAACCGCTAATTTCCAAGTAATTTATTTATTGCACATTGCATACTTAAATTCCACTTTCAACTTGTATCACAGTAATGACATAAGTAATCAAAGATACCTTAATTTCTTCACATTAACTTAGGTCTTTACCTACCGTTTTCATACACTTTCTTGGTTGGTTACGCACACCTCTGATGTTTTTATTTTCTTGCTTGGCGCCCTCGTTAGGTGTGCAAAAAGCAGGCCGAAATGGCTGTAAAGATGTTATTGACGTACGTACGACTTCTGGGATGGTTTTAATATTCAAAGTTACATTTCCATCGTTGAATATATATAATGATCAATGAAATCAATTTTAAAATCAAATATATTTTTTAAATATTTTAATAAAATGATAAAGATGTATTTAATATAATATTTGATGAAATATTTTTGTTGAGTGAGATGAAAAAATGGCGTCGCAGTCGTTCAAAGGTGTACCTGCAGAACAAAAAGTAGCAGAAGCTGAACGAGCTGCCTTACGTGATGTCTTAAGAAGAGAATACCAGCGTAATATTCAAAAACCCCATTTTAAGGGTGTTTTGGTAAAATAATTTATATTTATTCATTGAAATAGTTTAGGCTAAGCTAGTACTAGGTAGGGGCCTGTTTGTGTGTGTGGAGCCCCCAGCCAAAAAGGCCTAGGCCTCGGTAGGGACCGGTTCTAGCCTAGGCCTAGGCCTAGGTAAGGTAGGCTAGTTAAGTAGTTAGGCCTAGCGAGCCATCTACTGTAGCTAGCCCACAGGCAGGAGGTATGCCTAGCTCAACTGACACACAGACAGTCCAGGGCCATATAAATGTAGTGAAAATAATGTGAATGGATGGATTTACGTAAAATCGTCACAACAATTTTAATTTTATAATTTAATGAGACAATAAACAAGTTTACTGTACAATAATCAATATTTATGTCTCTTTCAGCTTGATCCAGCAGTTATAAGGTGGAATTATGCTCGAGTTAATTCATATGAATTTTTCAAAGCAACACCAAAAACAACGGTTTTGGGTATAATTGTAGGTATTCTTCCACCCGTTCTTCTAATGTACTCTGTAAGACGTAAAAAGGTAAGATGTCACCTACAAATAACAATTATAATTGGTTTTCATTTACTTACAGATGTTTTTATACTGCAAAAATCCTATTGCATCCTATCTTATTGAATTTTAAATAAAAGTTTTGCTTGAAATATAACACTAGTAATATTAATCAATATTTAGTAATATATAAATAATCATAAACACAAGAATGATCAATTATATAATTATTGTTTGAATTTTCTACAAATTTTTGTGATGTGCTTTACATATCGTCGCTCACATCACGAACTAACACAATCAAAGTAGATTGTGTTAGTTCGTGAAATCACAGTAGCGCGTCAAAACGAGCGCGTATTGGTTGTCAAGCAATTTTGTATTCTTTACCACACAAAAAGTCCTTTTTTGCGTATTTTGACGCGCTTTTTTGATTTCACGAACTAACACAATTGAATTTAATTGTGTTAGTTCGTGATGTGAGCGACGATATATCATGCTGATTTCTGAAAGTTATTCTTTAAATGTGAATATTACTAACTTTTTACCTTTTTGTTATGTCAATGCATAACCTGCTTTTAAAATATGATTTTTCTAGCATTTTTACCCTTTTGAACGAAACCATGTGAATATTACTAACTTTTTACCTTTTTGTTATGTCCATGCATAACCTGCTTTTAAAATGTGACTTTTCTAGGTTTTACCTATTTGAACACACCACAATGGTTGTGATTGCCACTGATTTTAAAGTGTTGTTTTCAAATAAACTAATAGTATAGTGCCTTTATGTATGTTTAGTATCAACATAAAATCATAACCCATTTTATATTGTAAATTTTCTGCTCAGACATTTTAAATTTTAGTGACTTGCTACTTCCTGGAGTGACAACAACCTTCAATATTTTACTCTCAATCTTGTTGCAGAATAATCGAGAAGCAAGGTACAAGGCTGGCGAAAAGCCACCACGTCTTCTGATGCTGTAGATTGTCTTTTAAAAAGGAAAATTATATTGAAAAATGTATTGAGATTCAGGATTTTTGCAGTGCATTAAATACTGGGTGAATCAAAGTGGAGGGAATGAGCTGAAATAGACTGGAAAAATATTTAAATGGATTCCTCTAGACATCCAATTTCAATGAATTTCCTAAATTGATTTTTTTGAATTGAACTTATAGATAATTATAAACATCATTTCCAAATACAGTACCTACGTTCTACAATATTATAACCTGCAAGAAAATAAGATGACATAAGATAATGCAGCAGAAACACTGTACAGTTGAATACATGACATTGTACTTGTAGGAATGTGAAAGTTTGCTAGATGTGTCTACAAAAGTAAATGCAATGTCAACGAGTTGATGGAACACCGTGCAGTAGTGAAGTTGCTGTATTATACACTTATCATTTGCGCATACTGAAGTAAATCTAGCAGTAGCAGTTTTCGGCCAGTGTTTGAAAAGAATACCATTATACAATTGTTTTGAAATTTACTGTTCCGTGAAAAAGGCTTAGATATGAAAACAAATAAAAGAATGTTATATTGTATGTTGTCTATATTGGTTGTAATTGCCTTCATATATATTAGATTATCCTTTTAGTACAGTACCTGTGAGTGTGTGTGTGTGTGTACAATTGTCATTGCACAAATAGTAAACATTCATTACGGTATTTGTTTTGTAATGTACATCTAAAATTGATACTTGATTGAAATATAGATAGGTCTACATTATCTTCCAAATGGATCAGTCCTGATTGGTCCATCCTCTCAAGGGATGACAACTTTGTATTTCAAAAATAGGCCCCTCCAAAAAAGTTTTGTACCCTTTCCCCTAGTAATTTGCTAAGAAAAAAATCACCTATCACCTTACTATGCCAACTAGCGCCCCCTCACTTAATCGAGCCTCAACTTAATCATTTTCTCCCCCCCCCCCCCCCCATGCCAGTATTTCTACATTAGCCACTGGTTATGAGATTGCAATTGCATCATGTTCATTGGAGAAACTTTAGCAGATGATCACAAAGAGTAAACATAACACAGCTTAATATAAATTATGTTTAATATATTACATATAAATTACAATTTATACAGCTTCTATTTTCACCTTTATATATCTACAAACACATTAACCTGATATGTATCATGGATTGAAAATATAACTTTTCAAGAACTATTGTGGAAAACATAAATTTTAGTTTTAAAATAGCCACATTTAAAATAAGTGTTTAAATGCATAAACTTCACTATGTTTATATTGTTTGTTTTTTTTATTCTTTTTTTTTATATTGCTTTTTCCTATCCTCTGTTTCACCCTTCAAAAATAGGAATTCAGCATGTGTATCAAATGAATATTCACCCAAGAGTACGTGCATCTATAAACGTTACGGTAAATGATTTTAATATATTTTATTCTCATTTTTCATCCAAAATAAACAAAAACATTAATACTACAGTATGCATATATGATGCAGAAAGCGTTTGAGAAATGTACATGTAGACTTTAGCATTGTGGGACTGTACAGCAACACAGAACAAGACTTTGATTGTTCAATATAAATAGTAGGCATAATAACAGTAGGCCTACCCTCAGTCGTACGCCCGAAAGTTATGATTGTTTTGATTATCACTCACTGATTGACAGAAAATCGATTGATTAATGATGTCACCTCTATTGCCTGTCACTTTTTTAACTAATAATAATAATAATAATAATGTTATACTTCTGTAGCGCAAATTGTCGGAGCTTCGATGCGTTCAATAACATTAAATAAACCATACTCTTTAATTACAGAATACCAATGCGTTAATGCTTAAAGTGTTAACTCAAAACCAAATCAACACCTACATTTTATGGAAATTAAGCAAAGATAATAATTAGTTTGATGAGTGTATACATTTCGATCTCGGGTGGTTAATTTAATGAGCTATGCTTTTGCGCCAAGCCTTCACGGTCATAATCACAAGGTGATCTTTTGCTAATTTCTCTTAGCATCAGTTGATATTGTCGTATAAATTTGCATTACTTCATTTCATAGATAAAGTTACTTTATTAGGCTCTATTAGGAAATCGCGATTTAGCCTAGACCAGGACAGTGGGGGATTCAGATGAGAGATATAGGTGCATGCTCACTGTTTTGTCTTTACAATTTCCAAAAAATAGTCGTATGGTCCATCCTGTTTGAACCGCCAGTGGCTGTTCCAACAACAATAAGGTGTTCCTATATAATTATGCTTATATCTGGGGGACCTCCAGTACTCAAACCCTCTCCATTGGACTAGGTTCTCGATGTATACCTCCGGCAAAAACATTTAAGTTCATATAGGCCTATGTTGGCCTAATTTATGTATTGATAATATGGCAACCATTTTAATATTAATAATCTTGAAACTGGCAGTCAAACTATTATTCTGCACCATCCGCTGATCCTTTGTTTTCCATATCTGCCTTTCTTTCCTTCAATTCGTCAGATAGATCATAACGTCCACATTTTACTAGGGCAGCACATAGCTTTCTTTCTTTATTGTACGCCTTTGGCATCACGCTACGCCACGTGACCAACATATCTAAAATCTGGGCCTCCATTTTTTGTGGATTGTTTCTTTTGATGCTCTGTATACGATTTCTTTTGATACCAAGATATGCTGATAATGATTCCCATTCGGAGCCTAGTTCCTTCGAAAGCCATATTAGATTCTCGTTAGACACAATGCCTAGAATAAAGAAATAGAACGTTTTAATTTGCTATTCAACAGGCATTCGAACTCGCGGATGATGTGCTACATTTTGTGAATTATATTACTATTTTTTACCTTCACCATTTAGAGCGATTGTCCTATAACGACTTGGCGGCATTAATGGATCTGGCTCAGACTTGATACAAGAAATGAAAAATAAAGGTCATTAGGTAACAAAACAACGGCAGATTTCGTTAACATGAAAATTGGTTGAAAATTAGTTAATGTGA